CTACAGCAACAACAACAACAACAACGGCTGCTACTACTACTACTACTACTACCACTACTACCACTACTACCACTACTACCACTACTACCACTACTACCACTACTACCACTACTACCACTACTACCTACTACTCCTCCTGCTACTACTGATACTTCTGCTACTACTGCTACTACTACTACTACTACTCCTACTACTACTACTACTACGACGACGCGTAGCCTGCGCGAAGTAGCATGGGTAGTAGCACGAGTATTTGCACCAGTAGTATTACGAGTAGCACGCATAGTACGAGTAGCATCGTTCTGTGTATCATTCCTTCTTCCTTGTCTTCCCTTTCCCTCACCTCCCTCCTTCATTTCTTCCTCTGATCTTGCTTGCCTGTTTCCTTCCGTTCTTCCTTCCCTCCTTCCCGCCCTCGTCCCTATACATGACTGCAAATGGTTGCTTTACTTATTTAGAGCTTGTGACTTTGTTTGATGCAGATCTGAGGCTTTTCGTCCCGAGTGATCTGATTCGACTTTTCTTGATCCAAATTTGATCGGCTTTGTCACGCATCCGCTCGAGTGACCTCATGACCTAAAAGTGACATACAGTCCCGTGTCTTCGAGGTGATTTGGCTCGCAGAAAAGAAACACAAACATGCACCTCGGACACTTTTTGTTGACTGCTCGCCGCAGTGCGCTTCCCTGTGTCATGACGAAGTCTCTCGCAGCGTCCTGGGTCGTCAGTGAAACTTCCGGTTCTTCAGAGGCTGGAAGGACAATGCCTCAGCTTGTGAACCGTCAAAACTTTCTCCTTGGAACCGTACAAGACACTTGAATCAATGCCGCTACTGCTCCTCGGTGCAGCCCAAGCACCCACGCACTGAATGTCGTCGGAGATAGGGTTCTCCTGCCATCCTTGCAGCTTGCAGTAATTAGCTCGGAAGGTTCAAGAACAACCCTCGCATTTTCTCACCTAAGAAACGCGCATGAGCCCGGCCCTATGCCATGCCGATGAGAGTCAGAGGGGGAATGTGCCAGACTGTGTCGATCGTGTTGGTGTCTTCGACCTGCGAAACGTGCTAACAGTCTCAGCTCCGGCTTCGGTCGGTTCGGTCCTCTCACTCCCAGCCCCAGCTCGGCCAGCTCGGCCAGCGCCGGCTTTCAAGTCTTTGCCTGCGCAAGCAAGCCGGATCTGTGCGTGTTGCCGCAGGGTTTCAGTGACCTGAAAGCTGATACAAGAAACGTCCCCCTCATCCCCCAAACTTGACGTACACCATACTTCCGCAAGCGCAATTCTCTGTTAGGGCTCGCGTGGCTCGCGCAGCGTCGTAGAGTATGCATTTCGTGGTGACGACACACGATTCCACCGAGGCGAGGCTTCGATGATCATAATATATCATAATACTCACGGGTCAGACGGACGCGGACGGAGGCTTGGCGATAAAGTTAGCCATTAGACGCAACAGACCAAACCCCCGGCTCCAGCAACAAGCACCACATATCAGCTAAGCACCCACAAGACACAGCACTCTGGATTCGCTCTCTAGTTATCTCGTGTTTGCCGACGGCACTTCAGGTCGTGCCTGTTGATTTTGCACCGCCTGATCCGTCTTTCATACTAAAGGCCGAGGACGCTAGCAAAAAATCCCAGCGCTGCAAAGGTGATCAGCTGCAACACACATGTAAAAGGCTGTCAGCCAAGTCAGCTGTGAAGAGAAGCCTGGCAATGACTGCTCCTGGCCCAACTACCCAGAACTAAACGTGTAAGAGGCTTTTCGCACTAACAAATGGACTCAGATGTGTCCTTGAGACGTGATCGCCAAATGGTGACAACGTTGACCAGCCAGCGCCGTCGAGCCTGGACGAAAGTTGCAGATAGTGGGGGTTCAGAAGCTGGTCCCAGTTGCCAAGTTGCTGGCTCTTTCCAAGATCCACGCAGTACAAAAGGCTCTGGGTGCGAGATGTGCTCGCCTGTCCAACACCTGAAGACAGCTGGGCAATCAGTGAGGCCAACAGAAGCACTTTGCCTTCCCTCCTGCGTGAAGTGTCGTAGATGTTCTCTTCTCAACCCTCGTTTATCCGAGCATGGGCCGACCCCGATTCGCAGTGATCTGGCCTGGCTGGCTTCCTCACGTAGGACTTAGCCACAGCCCCTTATATACGGCACGATGTGTAACTCGTGCTGCAACAAAACACGAAGTGCTTGCATTTAATGTGCTTAAATTACGCTCGCTACTCCCCAATCCAGGTGATGCGTAGACCTCGAATCAGAGAATGAGTGTATGGGACACGCTAGCGCAGTGCTTGTGAGCCCGGCCTTTGCAGCGACAGCCTGGCCGGCAAAACTCGGCATCTCAACAAACGGATAGCAACAAAGCTTCATACTGATAGGTGCGGGCAACCTCTCGAAGCAGGGATCTCGAAGCAGGGATATCGAAAACACAAGAATGCAAACACACTTGGTTCCAACCTGCAAAGCGGACTACCAACCTGACCGCGCTCACGCAGTGCTACTGTTCCTTTCGGTTCACAGTTGCGGTGGTTGATTTTGGAAAGGTGGCTGCGCTTGTGGTTGGTGTTTTTCCCTCTTTGTCCGTGAGTTGAGTAGTGGGACGGTTGCATAGCACGTAACTTGCGCTTTTTTGTCACTGACCGACATGTTTGGCAATGTACACCACTCATACTGGCAACGAAAGCAGCATAGCAGCCTGGCTGCAAACGAGGCCAGCTATGACACCACAAGCCTGCCGCACATCCACATCACATGCGTCAAATCAAACAGAATCATAAACTCCACCTCAGATCTCGGCGTCCCGGGACGAGCGGCTCGGAGTCCAGAATCCAAGCGCGAATACCTGAAGCTTGTGAAGTCGGAGTGGTCGTCCTACAGTTTGAACAGCACCAGACCATGGCCTGGGCTTCCTGGCTGGAGCCTGCCTCGATTTCAGCTCTGAAAAGCCCCCCGTGCTCTCTTGCCCCGCTGCGGTTCTGCAGCTGAACAGTGTCTTCTGCTTCTCTTTCCGTGCACCTCTGCGGCAGCATCCGTGAAACTGCTAGGCGAACCTGGCTCAGCGGATTTCGAAAGATCGATGCTTTGCTAGTTACATGTTGGAGAACCTTCCGGCGCACCAGGTTCTGCAGAAGGGCCACGCCAGCCCTTAATGCCTTCCGGGCTAAGTCCAGCAACCCGTCAACCCATTAGACTGTCGATAGAAGCACTTGCCCAAGGCCTGGCCACCTGATCGGCTGTCCGAGCTACCTCCAAGCACTGCGCTTGCCACACACAAAGTCATAAACAGAATTGCATGCAGTTGTAGCTGCAAAACCCTTGCTCTCGCCATCTATCGTCAGAGCGGGGGATGGAAGCAATGTAACACACCCGAAAGAGCGCCCAATCAAAGGTGAGGTGTTGCATGAAATTAACTGCATCCCGGAGCAGCAAGCAGCATGAGACATCCTCACTGCGTCATGTCATTGCTGGAAGAACCAGCCTTCCGGTATTTCGATCTGCCATAGACCCCTCATACCCCTCAGAGCCCTCAGAGACAGCACCGAATGCGAGCGAAGACATGTAAGAGGCAGAACAGGCTGCCCAAAGTGAAAGCGTACCACGCCGGAAGTTCAGTTGGCGAAAACATCTTGTAACATGGAAGAGGAGAGCCGGAGATCCGGAGAGTGAGAGACACCAACTCTCGCGACTCGCGAGACTCGAGTGCTCGCATTGTGCTCGCGAGAATCCCCATGCAGCTGCTCTGCTCTTGGCGCTTTCCCGCTCCGGCTGCGGCTCGGTGCGGGCCTGGAGCCGAGCGCTCCAAGCTCCTAGCCCGTCTCGCACATGCGCACAGGCACAGAAGCAAACAAAGAGGACATGAAGAGATTCTCATGCAGGATAGCACCTCTGAAAGCCACGATAGCAGAGCTCTGCATCGAGGTTAGAGAGTCACAGAGTTTGTGGCACTTGGCGTGGCTTCGAAATCAGAATTATCAGTGCCTTCGCAAAAAGGCACCAGCATGTATCTGGCCCTCTGGTGGAGGAAATGGGGAACCCTATCATCCTGAACAACCGTCACATTAGCAAACTGCTCTTCATGGCAGGGGGGCGGGAAATAAGGGAAGTGGCACGAAACCTGATGAAACAAGGTCCAAAAAAAGTGATCTGAAGTTTAAGGATGCTAGCGTGCCTCTCAGGTAGGTCTTCGAGGTTGGGACCGGGGGAGTCAACCACAGTTGCTGCATTGCAGGCAAAACAGGGGCGCAAGTCGATGTGCTGGCACCAGAAGCGGTCGACCGGGGTCGTGGCTAACTCCAGCGAAACCCTTGTTCAGGTAAAAGGTCACTGTGGGACCATGTCTGGGTTATGGTCTCTTCTTCGAAGCCAAGCCGTTTTGAACTGACGACTTCGACAGCTTCAGGAGGCCTCTAAAGCTGCTAGGACTGCTAGGATGGTCCTCTGTCAGCAAACACGAGCACAATGGAACCCGAAAGTAACCACCTCTTTTCACCACGCGTGGAAGTGTGAAGGTGGCAATCCGAGAGGGTCCCCCGAGCGAGTCCCAAAGCCTCAGGCCACGTGAAACCCCAAGCCGAGAACGGCGTGGCCTAATGTGCCTGGCGAGAAAAGTCCCGCATCGTAACGAGCGAGTGGGGCAGCTCTCGGTCTCATCGCGCACCATTCGGGCCGTAGGTGAGGGAGTACCAAAAGTCAGAAGGAATCGGACTCCAGTACTAACGGAACGACAGAAAGCGAAAGCCTCGCAGTAGACGGTTGACACGACGATCCGGAGCCAAGCCCAGGTAGTCCGGGTGCGTAAGCTCGTCAACCCATTTGTTGAAATCCCGCTGTGCAACAGGAGCATGTGCTCCATGAGAATGGCCGCCGAAGGCATCTTGCTAGACTTGCTGTCGAAAAGAGCAAATGTTGCCCTGGTTGTGCGAAAGGAGGGGAATGAGGAAGGCCGTAAGAACCAACGTCCCCAGCATCTCCAGGGCCGCGATGAAGCGCTTCGGAGGCGCCTGGACGAAGGCCCACGAATGGCGCTCTTCGCTGACCTTGTAATGGAACCAGAAGACGGAGGACTTGTCCGGGCGGGGGTCCATGGCAGACGAGCTCACTTCACTCACGAGACCACGAGGACCCCGCCCCAAAAAGGTGAAGCTCTGCTTGTGGAGGGCCCTGAAGAGCTCTCTCAGCAGTGCCGCGAACGAGGGGATCAAGGCTCCGGGCTTGCCCGACGTCTTGCACGCCATCTTCCAGGCCCACAGGGGTTGAGACCGAGTGGATCATCCTCAAGGCAGACGACACCAAGTCCCACCGTCGCATGAAAGTTCTGCGTCGGGGATGGCGCCTCCAGATAGCAAAGCTGGGCCGGGAATGGTTTGTTAACAAAGTCGGCGCATGTGGAATGGCCAGTGCTCAGCTGTATTGGGGCCGGCTTGTCTTCGTTGATGATTTCCCTTGGCTCCTGAAAGTCAGGGAGTCAGGGGTACTTGGAATTGGGAGCCCCGCCTGTTGGTCATGCAGCTGCTGGAGGACCTCAGGTTTTGATGCAGAAGTAGATCGAGAAAGACAGGCCACGACCTGCTGCCGGCACACCAAATCCCTGCTCCGCAGTATACAACTGTAGGCGAAGTGGTCTTTTGTTTGGTGTTTTTTTTCTGGATGTGCTCCTTGGCTCCATTCTTGGAGCCATCAAACATGGTCCTCACATGCAACAATGCCTGCCAAGGGACCAGGGCACAGTTCACCCGGCCGACAGCCACAGCATTTGACCGCCTGGGGTGAGGGGACCCTCCACCACGGGGCAACTTTTGAAGAGGCTTCCTCAACGAGTGTGAATTGGGCGGATCGAGAGAAGCATGGTGTCTTGCCAAGAGGCCTCCAAGACCAGGATGGCCTTACCGATCCGGGCCAGCTCACGTCCCCTATTGGCGGGT